GGGCAGGCAGCGGCCAGGGAGAGCGGGGGGACGCGGGAGGAGAAAAGCCTTTATCAGAGACCCGATTCGATCCGGTGAGGGCGGCAGGAATTCTGGCAGCCGGCCGCTGCGTGCGGATTTCTTCCACTTTAAAAACCTCGTTTAATAATAAAACTTTAAGTTATTTGAAAGTTTGCCAGGCAGAGTGCCAAGGGAAACTGCTTCACTCCAACAATGGGATCGCTCGACTTTCTCTTAAAACACCGAACCGTCAGTTTTTGCAGAAGCAAATCCTGAACCACCGACTGAAAAGTGCTAATGAGGTTTTTATTTTTTATTCATCTCCTTTTAAAAACTGCATCCGTTGGCCTGATCCTGCAGATGCACCGAGTAATACTGCTCACACACGTCAATACGATCTCCGGTTTATTTGCTTTATTCATGTGCATAAAAAATCACAGAACGTGAATTTTGGCTGGATTGAAGGATGATGTCATCTTTGGCCAACAAAAATATCATAGTAGCAGCATTTCTAAATCGTAGCGTGTTCCCCTGTTCGGATCTTGTTTAAATTCATGCAATTTACTCTTCTAATCTCCATTTTAAAAGCTAAAGAATTCAAGGTTTGTGCAAACATGTTAAGAACTCCTTGCAATGCAAAACCAATTTTGCTTTAACCTTTTTTGTATCATCAGTGAAACTCGCTGTGTATATACACTAAGCTTTGAAAAAAACAAATTCAAACAAGAATCTGGAAGAGTTTGAATTATTGAAAAACGATTAGAATAAAATTCCCCATGTTTCAATAATATTATTCGATAGTGACAAGTTTTGTGGCAAACCCAGCTGCAAAGCATTCTCCAAAGAGAATTACTCTCACATCACATCAGTCTAGAGAGGTAAATTTAACACTATTTGACCAATGTAAAGACTGACACAGAAGTGGAGAACTGCCCAGGAAGACAACATAAAGAAGTCAGTGAAAAGAAATAAAACCTCATGTGAGTGATCTCGCTGTTAGATTACTGCTTGTTGGCTGCATTTCTTTTTTCACCTAGACCATATGGTCCAGGCTCTTTTAAATACTTCTTAAAAAATGGACTAACCTGGTTCTGCTCACTTACCCAGACAGGATAATCTTGTTAATCTCATAATGGCCCTCAATTTTGAGCATGCACTGGCTTTTGACTAGACTTGTCTGAACAAATGCTTACCATTTTATGGATGTATGTAAATGTACTCTTTGCTTCCTTCCCATCATTGTTCCTTCTTTGGCCGACTACTGTTACCATTTTTGTGAAATTATGCAGCACTTCTGAGATGTCTTCTGTACAAGCTAGTGCTGGTCTCCTATTCAGCAGCTTTTGTTCTGATTTGCACTGGGGCAACTTCAGATTTTATTAAAACAGCCAGGTTCACTGCAGGCTGGAAAAAATCTGCACGTGAATGAAAGGAAGTAATTTAGCTCGGCACATGGAAAGTTGCCCCCGTGGAGACAGGGTGCAAACCCCACATGCCAGCTTTCAGAACAAAGACAGTATCTCTCAGAAAGAGAATCTTTACTTCATGCAGGCAGTTACTCGGTACGATCTGTTGTATTTTTGTGTTGGGTTTTTTGTTTTTGTTTTCTCTCTGAATTAGTCATCTCTCCCTTCAACTATGACTTTTTTTTTTATCCTGCTTTAGGAGACAAAATAGCAAGAATCTGGACCAGAAAAAAAACCCCACTATGCAACCAAATTGCAGTCATCTCCACAACATCCAAGGGAGTGGTGATGACTCTTCATCTTCTCAGAGCGCCCACGCAGCGAGGCTGTCAGGAGAGAGCTCATGCCATCACAGCGGAGATGTTCACATACAGCTAAACTCTGTTGTGGGAGAAGCCAGAGAAAACACGAGTTCCCGGCATTCAAGGCCAGGTTCCCAAAGTCGCTCGCACGGACATGCCCACGGCGAAGCAGGGGGGCTTGATGATTCCACTCCCGACTTGGAGGAACACAGCGGCAGCTCCCTCTCAGAGCTCAGATACCTCCTCCAGTGGCTGCACAAAAGTCTGCCGTATATCTTGATTCTGTGTGTCAAATTGATCATGCAGCATATAATTGGTAGAGTATAACAAATAAGGTCTGAGGGAACAGACCCTTCCCCCCAAAGAGATATACTAATAACCATGCCTGAAATGTAATTCAATTTACTTTTAGCTTTATTTTTATTTGCTTTATTCATCAGAAAGAGAGATTTACTAAACTACATTTCAGTGGCTTCTGTTTCCTTTGCTGGCATATGTACAATGTGTTTAATTATTCTGGCTTGATAGTCTGAGCTATTAATTGTAATTACAAAGATGTATTAGAAGTGGCTGGTTTTTTAACCCAGTTAAGTACATTTTTAAATTTTTTTTTTCATTTTCTTGTGTATAACTGACCCTTTCTTCCTAATAGGCATTTCTCTTGGAATTGGGCTGCTAACAACTTATATGTATGCAAACAAAAGCATAGTAAATCAGGTTTTTCTAAGAGTAAGTATCACCCGATGCAACAAAACTCTGTAAGTTAATGAAGACCTTTATCCATCAATTTTTGAAAGAAATGTGAAAGGAGATGCTGTTTATTAGGTTCCACAGGTTTCAAGACATAAGTCTTAATGCTTCTGTGGGGGGTAGAACTTCTCAGATAAGCAAGGTTTGCAAAATTCAAAGTGGTTTCCCCCCTCCTCCCCCAACTTTGAATGTTGAAATAACTTCAACTGATAAAAGCTTTTTGGAGTTTATGGAAGAACTTCTTAAATATGTTTGTGGAATCAAACAGCAGCTGACCGTTTAAACTTTCAGCTCTTCTCCACTCACTCCCAAAGGAAAAGCTGTTATTTCTTCAGATTGGGGCAGGTTTTAGTTGTGTTTTTAGAAAACCCATTAATATACACAGAAATTCTTACATTGAAAACATTAAAATTACTGCTTTACCTTCCATGGAGTTCTGTTTTATTTGGCCTGAAACCACTAAGATAAAATCCTCTCATAGTAACTCTGTTCAGGTACAACAGACTTAGTGCTTTGGAGGTAAATATTTAAGACACTGATACTGAGATAAGGACTGCAATATGTCTTTACAATTATCTTACAGGAACGGTGCTCCAAGTTGCAATGTGCTTGGTTACTGGTATACCTAACTGGATCATCTCTCCTCTTGTATTACACTTTTCATTCTCAGTCCCTCTATTACAGGTAAGTAGAGGAACATCTCTACTCGCATCATAAATTACTCAGATATTAACTGGGAACATTTTATCTGGGCAGCTGCTGTTTTTCTTTAATTGTGACACTGGTTTCTCTTTCATTTTAATCTCCATTCCTCCTCTTCTGCCAAACTGAATAAACACTGTCCTTGAAAACAGTATGTTGGAATTTGCACGGTTAGACCTCATACTCAATTTACTGGTACCACTGTACCATGGAGAATGTAGCTGGGTTTCATTCCTAGCTGTGACCCTACCACCTTGCCTTTAGAACACTGAATATCTGGCACTGTGGGGCTCTGTGGAGTTTACATATGTCTCTGATTTATTTTTTTCCCCTTACTATTCTGTAGCTACTGTCTTGGCTGTAATCACCCAAAGGCTGTAGAGCTAAAATGGGAAAGAAGCCTATCTCTAGAGGATGGGGGTTGTGATGACGATAAAGAAGGGAGGTCCAAAAATTGAAAGGTTGTCAGAGATCATAAATGATCAGTTTGCAGTAAACAGTTCATTTTTATAGCAAATATTTTTTTCTCTAGGTAAACCAGGTTTCCTTTTTTAAATTAAACCTGCCATGATAATCTCTGGTTATGCTTTCCTCAAAACAGTGCTCCAGTAACTTCTGATCATTCTTTTTGTAGCTTAATCTTTTTAAACCCTACCGTGGATTTTACAAACTTCTGGGAGGTACTTTGGATTGTGGGAGTTACAGACTTTATTCTGAAATTCCTCTTCATGGGTTTCAAGTGCTTTATTCTCTTGGTGCCTTCTTTTGTGATGTCCTTTAAATCCAAGGTAAGAAAACAAGCTGTATTTTTGCTTCTATGTGAAGATCTTTTATGGTAAAATTAGCTAATTATTAAATTATACTGAGATCAAAGTATTTTTAATTTAAAATCTGTATATAATCCACCACGACACTGTGGGCAAGAAAACTCTGTGGCCTTCCTGTTCTTCCCTGCTTGGTGCTAAGGAAGGTTTGCAGTCTGATCTGAAACAATTGTTTATATTATGTCATCAGATAAATAGGTTTATTTCTGTCTCTAAATGGGGGCATGAAGAAACCTTTTATTTGCTGCAGTGTAAGAATGTGTATACGGGCGGTTTGCTCTGAGCAGCTGATGCACAGTAAATTTTTTACATGCTCGACAATAACTGACATAGGAAGATTTTAAGATCTGCACGTGCAAACAGCTGTATTTTCAGTCTCTTAAAAAATAATTCTGAATTTTCTTTTTCTTAATAAACTTAAGCAATATTTGTGTTATGATTTTGATTCATAGCTTAATTCCTCAAACAAGTGAGGCTTAATGATTTTTATAGAAGCCTACATTGCTAGGAGGGGTATTTATTTTTATCTGCTTCCTGAGGTGCAATATGCAAAAAAACAATTCAATTTTATGTCAAAATAGCAAATACTTTGCTTATTGCTTTTAACTACTTTAAAAAACAAACAAACAAGTACAGTTCATACATTATAGCATTTGAAAAGGATGTTTCAGTAGCTTTTACCTTTTCAAATGTACCAGGACAAAGTTTTTCTGAGGGACAAGCAATTTCTCTAATTACTAGTTTATAATCATGGGTTTTTTTTGTTTGTTTGTTTTTTAAAATTTAAAGCTAGTGATGCAACATCCAAAAAAGTAATTTGAAATTTCCATTACACCAAATGTGACCTAAACTGTGGTTAAATTAAAGAGGGAATCTGGTCAATAGTGACAAAACACGCCATTATCCAGTGCAGATTATAGAAAGAGTACTTCTTCCCTGTTACAAATCGAGTTTTAAGGACAAACTTCAAGAAATAAAGTAAAAGTTAAGCTAAATATTTATGATATTTCATGCACACACCCAGAGTGCTCCGTGCAGGACACCTCTGCATTCTAGTGGTTATTCAGTAATTTTTAGGGTGGTGTTGAACTCTGTTTACCTGTTCAGTCCAGCTTCTTCCTCCCCCTACCAACACCATTTTCTTATCACCCCATCCTATATAGGAGTTAATTATCACAAGATAAGGCTTCTTACACATAAGGCATGAAATAATGTTTACAGGAAAACGGTAATTGGTGTTTGTTAATAAAAGAATGGGCCTTACTCTCATGTTCTAATCCTGAATGCAGGACACAACTCCACTAATGACAAGCTGATGTACACGACCAAATTTGTCTTTTTTTTTAATGTAACTGTTATTTTCTTTTCCATGCTTATGAAATTAAGTCTGATAGCTTTGTTAAGTAGGTAGGCATTTGACAAAGCCATCCTATTTTAGCGTATTAATTTGATTTTTGTGCAGCACAACAATTGTGCTATTGTTATTTGTACAGTCGTGGTGAGGCTCATCATCTGGTCTTCATTCTTTTTCATTCTTCGTATTTAGTTATTTCAAAAGATATGAAAAGAAGTTACTCAGAAGAATAACAGTGCATCTTTTCTCTAGATTTTAAAAGTCCTTTGTGTTTTAAATCTTGAGCGATTCTTTTGCATGTCTTGCTTAGGGCTACTGGTACATGCTGTTAGAAGAACTCTGCCAGTATTACCGTATGTTTGTCCCCATACCAGTTTGGTTCCGTTATCTTATTGGCTATGGGGAGCTGGACAGTGTACTAGGATGGACCCTTGGAATATTGCTGGGCCTTCTCTACCTCATCCTAAAAGTATGTAAGCTTCATATTCCTCTCCAACTGTTTGGCAGTAACTATCATCGGAGGGTTAGAGGCACATTTCTGAACGTTCCCCCATGTTTGAACTGATTTGTAAATTGATGATTCAGTTTAACTGATACAGCCTTCCAACACTGAGAGGAAAACTGGCTCAGGACACCTAAATCATCATCTTTTTCCTGCACCTGTTCTGGGAATGGATTTGGGTTGCATAGCAAAGAACAGTGTTTCTGTAGGTCCCCTCACATCATACACTGATCAGATATTGAGGAAGAAAGATTGCAAAAACAAAGGTGAAATTCATGGCTAAAAGAATCAGCATTTTCCAGGAAAACAGATTTTCTCTCTGCTCAAGTGTCCTGTGTGATGCTGAACAAGTTAAACATAAGTGTTCATACTGGCTGTCTACTTCACCAAAGAGCTCACCTGCTCCAAATGTGGTGAGACTCGGTACAATTTCAGCTCTGAACATGAAAAATACTTTATAATGTTAAGGTGTCTCAATTACAAGTGTAAGGACTACTGCATGTATGATAATAATGCTGGTATATTTGCACCCGAGTGCTTCATTTCACAACCTCAACACTTTTTATTTTAAAGAAGAGACACCTATTAGGGAAAAAAAAAACCAACCAACTTTAGGCTGAATTTTTAGTTTAGTTACATATTAAGCAATTAAAAATAGGGTTGGTCTGAACTATAGCTTTGCTTCTGTTCCTGCAAGCACTAAACCAGCAGGGAGAGTTTTATTTTTGGAATGTACACAAAAGCTTGGAAGAGAAAAATATTAAGCTTAACTCAGTTTTTCTTTCCCCTTTCAGCTTTTAAGCTTTTTTGGACAATTGAGAAACTTCAGACAGGTCTTACGGATATTTTGTACACGACCAGTGAGTACTGAATTCTCTTATGACAAAACAGTAAACCCCATTTACATGAAAATACTTCTTTTATAAAATACCTCATTCCTATATTACTCTGTATTTTCTAGCAATAGACAACTGCATTTTTTAAGTAAACCCAGTATGCTTGTTCTCCCATTTCACAGTCTGAATTCTTTGACTACATGATTATGTTGTCATCTGAACAACAACAACAAAGAAACCCCCAAAAATCTATTTTGCATGTCTCTTCAGATAAATGTATGTGAAATAACAAACCCTTTTTGTCCTGCTCCCTACTTTTTACCTGAATATTGACTGGATGCAGGCAAAGCTTTATGCTGAAATACAGTGAGAACTGAAGCTTGCCAAAATAACTGACACGGAAGTAAGTTTTGTTAGAGCTGTGAGTTTCCAGATGATCGTTCTCTGCAGTAAGAGGTATTGTTTAGAGTCTGCTACTCATGCAGTAAAATGTATAGAAGATTTTGGAGCACAGTGTCATTGAACTAAAAGAATAATGAAGTGCTTCTCATTTTCTAAGTGCTATCGTGATCAGATTGGAACTTAATACAGTGTTTTGCTTAGATGTCACTGTTAAAATAAAACTGCTACAAGATTTTTACAGTAGCTGTGATCAGGGGAAGATAGTAACTAGACAGCATGGTAAGTGGGAGCAGATGAGCTTTAGGCCCCAAGACAACTATTAAAAAACTTAGCAACATTTTGTTGGATTAGGGATTGAAAAGTTCTCCTGACGTAGCAGCCCTTATTCCCAATTCCTTTCTGTCCTGGTATTTTTGTGTTTTGCTTTACCTTTTTTCTCACCCCTAGAAACTAATTTCTGCTAAAAATACCTTGTTTTACAGCACTATGGGGTGACAGCTAGCAAGAGACAGTGTTCTGAATCAGATGATATTTGTTCAATCTGCCAAGCTGAATTTCAGAAGCCCATTCTGCTTATCTGTCAGGTAATACACACAATCAAAATTATTTCTTGCAAATTTAAGAATATTTTAAACAACTGGTAAACAAAACATAAAGTTAGATTAGTGTGTCTTCTGATTATTTTTAGAAATCAAGCTATGCAAATAATATACGGTCTTATAAATGGAAGAGCTTAGAAGCTCTAAGTTCTCATTCTTTTCATTACAGCACACATTTTGTGAAGAATGCATCTCTTTATGGTTTAATAGAGAAAAAACGTGTCCACTCTGCAGAACTGTTATTTCAGACCATGTTAACAAGTGGAAGGATGGAGCTACATCTATGAATCTACAGATTTTCTAAAGCATGTCAAACAACTTGTTTTACAGTTTGTTTGTTCAAGCTCAAGTTTTTCAGTTTACTGCAGATTAAATTGTAGGTGGCACAAGGAAAGAGTTTCCAAATTCTAGATATCATGCTTCTATGAAATGTTCCAGTATTTGAAACAGTGCAGAAAACAAACAGTAACTTGACCTTCTTAAGTATAGAAAAGTAAGTTTTCAGAATGAATGCAGAAAAGCCAGCATTGCTTCTCTTGTGATTCTTGTAGGAAACAATCTAGTCCTTGAAAAATGCTGCGTTACTTCTTGCAGCAGCTTCATAATTCAACGTTTTATTTAAAAGCTTAAATAGAGTTCCAGACTGTACTAAATTGTATTTATCCTTCTAACATGACTCAACCCAAAAGGTCAACCTACCAATTTTATTAAGATTATGAGCAAACTTTATACTCTGGACTACAGTGAGAATTAGAGCTACTTGTCACACTTGGCATTAAAGGTCCTTTAATGCTAGATCAGAGAAATGAGCTTCTCATTCATGCACCTGTAACAGCAACTATTTCTCACTGTACCCAGCAATAAGCCACAAGTATAAGACGTTTCCCCTTTAGGTTCTTGTCGACTTCTAATGGATCTTTGGCTTAACACATAAACCAACCACTGATGTTAGTTTTTTACATAGCATTTTATAAAGTTGGTATTTTTAAAACAAATCTTTAATACTATATTTTTGTCATAACAGGAACCAGATTTTCTTACAGGGGAGAATCTATTTTATACTATATTTGCAATTTGTAGTATGCATAAAGATCAGAGAGAATAAATGCATTTAAATCTATTTGTTTGGTGCATGTTGAATAAAGAAACAAGATTCGTTACTGTTTCAATATTAACTTATATGTAAGCACATAACAACAGCTCACTGCTAGGTATACTTTTCCTGCTAAACTAATGTCTCTGAAAACCAAAAAAAACCTCCAAATGCTACAACTTATTCATGACTAGTCTTTATGCTAATTATAGAGCTAACATGTACAAATCTTTTTTTTTTCCTACTTTTTTCACCTTGCTATTTAGCTAACACTAAAAAAAAAAAAACCAAACCACTACTCAAATTATTCTGTTACAGCAAAGTTAAACTAAGTAGCCATTAACTTGAGCTCATCTTAACTGAATACCTTTAGGAAACTTCTAAATTAGGGAAAAATAGAACAAAAAAGTTAAACACTTACTTGATGAATGGTGTAACAACTCAAACAGCCAGGCAGAGTGACTGCTATGAAGTTGCAGCTGACACAGCCAGATTTATAGGGCTGACAGGGCATGATGGGAGAGTGCCCTTAAAGGTACAGCTAAGAGTGTAATAGTAGTAGAATTTAGTGTTCTGAATAAAAAAAATCTAATGATATTGAAGATTCAAGCTAACAGGTTCTCATGTTATGTCCAGCCTGGGTTTTGTGATAGCATGCTGTGTATTTGCTAATTGTATTTCTGTCTGAAGTTTACTGCAGTTCAGAGTAGATGTGCCCTATGATTGTTCCACCACAGTATCTGAGTGACTCCAGCTTAAAGAAAACAGGCAAAAGCTTCTAAGTGTGTAATTGGAAACTTATGGGAGTAGAAGAGACTGGTTCTCATGGAAGCCTTTCCCAGCAGGTGAGGTACTTAGAGAATGTGCAGCTGAATGATGTTAAGAGCAGTCCTGAGGGTGGCAGGGAAGAATTAGAGCTTGGCCAGAGCCACAGCTGTGCTGTAATGGGCTTGTGCCTGTACCTTCAGTATTGTCAGAACAAACTGCTCTGTCCTTCCTCAGAGAGATCAAGCTATGCCTTAGCTTGCATGTGAAGTTCGTACAAGATCAGAGCTGTTTGTTATTTAAATGTCATCAGTGGTGATACTCAGGCTGCTGGTGCAGCAGAACTTCCCTTGACACATGGACAAACTGAATCAATTAAGGAACAAAAAACATGTAGAGGAAATTTAAGGTTGGATTCTGAATTTCTGATGGGTCCACAGAGACTCTGGAAGCTCACTTGGTTACACAATCATATTTAGACTTCCCCAAACTTAATCATGAAAATACTAAAGAGTATTGTGTGAGTACTGTGTAACAATGTGAGTGCTACATTTAATTTAGTCAACAAATAGCACCTTTAAAAAAAAGCTTTGCTGATGTGAGTAAAATGTGTGACTAAGCTCAATACAGAGTTAATAAGGGTGAATGTAATAACCAACCCTTTCTAAAATACTGGGCAACATAAAAATTGTAACTTATCCTGGATTAGCTTTTCCTGAAATGCTAATACCTACAGCCTAATCACTTTTTAATTCAAAAATCCTCTCAGGGAAAATATAAACTAAAATTCTTTAGACTTGGACATGATGTTAGAGCAAGGAAATATACTTCCTAATACTTGAATATTGATTAAATTCATTGCCTACCAGTAATGGATAACCATTCATCAGAATCCCAGTACTCTGTGACAGACTTTCAAAAATCTTTTTAGAACAATAGCTCTAAATCACCTTAGTCCATTCTTGGAATATTAACTGGGAAGGGACAGATTCTGAGATGCACCAGCTGCTTAATACAAACAGGTGTCCTGAAAGCAGAGACATTACCCTGCAGACTAAGAGAAGCCATCTGAGAAACGAGTCTGCTTTCTTACTGCCTTATCCCCAGGATGAATAAATAGCAGCCCCATTGCTTACGCAGGAGGGAAGAGTGAGAAGGATGCTTGCCATTCCCTCAGAGAACCATAAAATGACGACACTGCAAAGCTGAAGTGGTCTGTCAGGACCAATAGGTTGGACTAGCAGACCTAAGATGAACTAGGAAGGTAGTTACAGATCAAGACACATGGTGCTTTACCCACGTACCTTCCAAGTATGCAGGGAAATTTGAAAGAAATTAACCTGAACTAAATATTCTTTTGCTGTAGAATAAAAGTATTTATAAATTACTTACCTCGACGTGTAGTTCAGTATCTGACACAAGATACTGTACATGGAGGAGTCAAGGCATCAGGCCAGTATTATTACAAAAAACATCAAACTAATTTAGCAGTATTACACTTGTGGTTAAGAAAAATTTCAACACAGTAACTTGACAGCATCATCTGCCCTGTAAAGCTCACAGAGACTATTTTATGGAGCACAACAAAACATGGTCTGAGTGCTTTAAGTCAACCCTGGATGGTTGCTGATCCTTTGTTCTTTGTCTACCACATAGTAGTAACAACACCTTACTGGAATAAGGGTGGATATTGGCCAGAGATAGGACCAGGGAACAATTTTGGTTTTATTATTTCTCCCTGTTGATGATTTTTTTTCCCCTTTAAGATCCAGTGAAAATTATCCAAGCCCAGTAATATTATCAAACATAGTTTATTAAAAAACAAAGCACTAAAGGAGATTTTGATCAGCCTGTTTAGATTTACACTTCATAAAAGAAACAAGTCATTCTGATCTTAGTTACAGAGAGGAAAAAGTGAGTAACTTACATCCATGAGTGACATCCTCTCTGATCTGCTTGTCAGCATCACACTATTAAGATGCAACTCTTCCTTATCAAGCCTACTGAGGCCAGAGTAGCTGCCCTGCTTTCCACACACACAGCCACCCAGCACGTGTCTGACTCTGCAGGGGACAGAACAGAGATGACAAATGGCAATCAATAGCCACTTTTTAAGAGCCCAAGAACCTAGGTGAACGTACCAGCCCTTGGTAAGACAGACCGATCAGAACTAGCATCTCTCAGGTCCTTTAAGTTCTAGGTGGAATTCCTCCTCCCTCCCTTTCCCTTCAAAGCTGTCATGAAAGACAATGATTTAGACCCACAGTTATACTTAGGGCCTACCTCCTTCCTTAAAAAAAAAATAAAAATAGGTCACTTGGATTAGCATATGTTTAAATTTGCATTTAATTGCTATTCATACCCATCTTACTCAGCGGTTGAGTATATTTAGTTCCAGTAAACTGTGAAAGATGGAAAAACAGAATAGGGATTACCTTTATCTCTACTAAGGCAGCTCCAGTTTGTTTCTTGAAGACAGCTACAAAGCCAAGTTCATCTAGAAGAGAACAATCTGGAGAAGTTCATATATAGGAACTGCATACAGTATAAGCATCAGGGATCTGCAGGAAGGATATTTAAGTAATTTGCCTTGTTCTTAATAACTCCTCCTCCTTTACCCTTTAAGGTAAAGGATTTCCCTCCAAGGTGTGAAAATGAAACAGCAACTATCCTGCTGTAGAAACAGAATTTAAAAAAAAAAAACAACCAACCAAAACCCCAAGCATCTGTCCTAAGAACAGCAGGAGTGTCCCTCAACGTTTGATGCACTTTTTGATTAACAGCGAAAGCAGGTTGAGAGTTAATATTAAAAAGAGAACAGACCCAAAGTAAACATCCAGTGTATAGTCAAGAGTGGACTCAAATATTAAATGTTCTCCAGCAGTTGAGCTTTTAGACAGCAAGACCAAAAAAAAAAAGGGATATTCAAAAGAACAATTGACTCATTTATTTTTATCTTTTATTATGAGCTAATACCAGGATGACATTCAAATGTCAGGATGGCACAATTAAGACAGTCTTGGTAGGAATTATTCCAGCATTCCCAAAATTACAATTTAGTACACAAATGGCATCAAATGTATGCATCACTCCCACAGAGAAAAATTATGAAATTCTGAATATCTTCTACGAGAATAGTTTCTGCATCAAATGGGAAAAGAAAAACTGCTGGTAAAACAGCTGACCTATAAACCTTTTGTGATAATGACCTGCAGAACAAAATATTCCCCTATTTAACATCTAGTAAAAAAAAATATGACTTTTGTTCAAGTTTAAGATTTAATACTTTTATATGGTTAGCCACAACAGGTATTAACCTCAGTTTTACTATATTTTTGTAATGCTACAAAAATCCTATAAAATCAAATTATAGTGAATTTTTCAGTGATTATAATTAAAAAAGCGCAGCTTGTACAAAATAAAAAAAATAAGATTCTATACTCTAA